ATTGTGTTATTTTTATCATTATCATTGATATCAACATCACTATCGTTATTCATTTTGCCATTCTTATCAACAGCATAGTCGTTGAAATCATTAGTATTACTATTGACATTGGTTGTTTGTGTCTATTATAATTTCCACTGTTACTGATCATCAAATTGTTCGCTGTCCGCATCACAGCGTACCTCTAATTCCTCACATTCAAGCCAATCCGTAATCTCTTATAGCGAAATGATTTCACGAATCGGATACATTGATTCAATTTGTAATGCGTTTAATTGTGCTCAAAAAATATGCCGATCGAATGTATCGATTCATAATCAGTATATGTTGATGGGTTAAGATGATGTTGCTGTACGATTACCATTTCAGATGTCAAAGTTGTTTTCAATAATATTCAATTGAGCGAACTGATATCGCATGTCACAATAAGTTAAGGGAATTTATGAATGCAATTGTCATCACTATGCCCTTGCAATGATTGATGTGCGACAACGTGCGATTCCTTGAATGCACGACGCATTAGTGCATGGCAAAATCAATCGCTCGTGATGAGGTGGTGGTGGTTAAACTTATCCCAACATTTTCATTTAGTACGATTGCAGTGCCCAATTTTAACCTCAATTAATATTTCTATCTCAATTTAATCGTGCAATCTTGACTGAATCATTGTAAACTGAATCACTGTTGAGCATCAAGCAAGCTCGTGATTACTGTTTTCGGTTTTCCCAAACCTGACGATGTATTCGACCGATTTCTGGCATCTATTATTTCTCATTCAAGATGGCTGATCACAAGATAAAGAAGCGTACCAACGAAATCATCGTCATCATCATCATCGGCTGCTGCGTCATTGGCCGACGATCCAAGAAGTACAGCAGCATTCGGCTTGATCTGTCGTTTGCCCGGTCCTCTCGATGCTTAAATTTTTATTTTGCACAAATTTAACAATAAATCAAAAACGATTCCCGATTGGCAGTGAACAATAGCTATACAAGCACCCAACTGGGAAAACTTCTTAGCTTCACGGTGTTTCATGTGGCCAGATATATGAGAAGGTAGCTGAATCTGGAGATGCTGGATCACAGTGCGCTTGTGAAACTGCCTTCAATTGTGTTCGTATGAACATAAGGCTTTTGCAAACTTATAAGCTGATTTCTTCGGTAGTAACACAGGTGGTGTTGACAATGTTTTGGTCAAGAAAAGCGAGATTCTCTAACAACGATCTGAANGAGGAAGTGATATGGGCAGATTGTATGGGCAGCTTCCACAGAGATATTGAAATATTGATACAGATGAGAAGTTAGTTGAGTATCTGAGTGAGATTGCAATTGTTTAATCAATATATCGGAAAGATTTCTGTGAAGATGATGCTGTATTCATACAAATGGTGACTTTTGTGGATGAACGTATATCAGGAATGATCAATTGTGCATTCAAATACAATTGCGTTTCATTGCGTTTTCGAATAACTTCAGTGATATGTTCAATTGAGAACAGAGTTGAGCTTCATCGTTAACGTAGAAAAATAAACTAAAATTTCACTGCTGGGAATGAAACTGAAAAATGAAAGCATGAAATAAGACTTTGAACGTGCCAATGTCTCGATAACAGCCGAGTGCACAGGAAATCGAATCGCCCCTCACATACTCATGCGTTTCATGTGAAATTTTTGCAATGATTTTTAATGTTTTTGAGAGGATCTGATCAAGAATACAAATGAGTTGATGAGCGAATCCGCACTGATACGTATGGGTCACTCGCAAGAATTTCATCCATCGTTCAGTGACATTGTACACAAACGAATGCCACCACCACCACCAATTGATGATGATGGGTTGTGGTGATACGAGCGAATGAGAGCGAATTCACATTGACACAACACGAAAAACAATGTGAACAAGACAAAACGCTAACCTGCATATGCCATGAAACTTTTTCGTTCAGCTTCGGTCATCTTCGTTGTTGTTTTTGTTGTCAGTTAAATGATCACTAGATTGAGACAAATCACGATTGTTCGATTGAATTCAACAAAATCTGGAAACTTGTTGAAATCTTCAGATGGCTAGCGATTGAGACGATAACAATGATAGATAGAGTCACTCTCTGGGATCAAATTTGGAGAGCAGTTGCGAACCGCGCGATCAAATCGAAACGCCGCAGTAGCAG